TTTAATTAATAAAATGAAAACAGCAATAGACATTCTCCTTAATGAGAGTTCTGTTTTTATTTGTAGCATCAAAATATTTTTGCTACCATATTGAATGTTAATTTTTTAGCCATTTGTTACTGTGAGTCTATAATTTTTGTTTAAGTTTAACTTCTTTTTTCTAAACTAGATTGTTAATGAAGTGAAAACAGTTTTTTTCTAACATCTTGAACATCTGCTGGCTTTTTCTAGCTGTAAAGATTTCTATGAATAACAGATTAGAACATAAGGAATTCGGTATTAAAGGATTGATTATTGTATGCAATTTTTTAGGTATATTTTTGATAATAAAATATGCAGAATTTTGTGTTTTGAACATTAAATTTTTATTTAAGTTTTTTATTGTTGAGCCATTGTTCTAACAGCTATATGTGAGGTATACTGCTCGTTTACATAGATTTTGGTTTTTGGTTATGCATCTTAACTGATTGTCATTGAAGGAATCAAAATATGCGTTAAGTATAAAACAATACACCAATTGTAAGTAATCAGATTTTTTCTGCAGAAATATTACAGGTTATTTAATGTAATCATATAATAATAATAATCGATGACGATACCCTACAAGCACCGTGTCAGTACAACATCCTGTACTTCATTTTTTCGCTTAATCTTTCTATGGCGCGGTAGTGTATGGAAAGCTGTATTACGAGGGCTGATCGTTTGGTTCTTAGTTTTCCAGGCAATTGCAATCTTCTACACCTTTGGACTTGGACCATCTAAACAACGGTATGTTACTCGGTTAGAAACTTGAAAAAAATTGCTGAAATTTTTTTCTAATCAGTTTTTAGTCTTGTTTGAACAGTTTTGATTTCAAAGTATTTAATAGCAATATTTAAACTTTCATCTCTCAAAAAAATATTCTTATATTTAGCTGCATTTTTCAACGCTAGCCATTCTTTTTAACAGATTATTAAAAAAATTATTTGAGCAGTTTAAATAGTTTGATTTTTTTACACTAGTAATGAAGTGATGAGTAGTGTAGCACTTATGCATGCTATGATTTAAGACTTTTTCGAAAAATAGCTCTGGGAATGAACAGTAAAATGTCTTATATTCCTCTCGAATTTATTCTTGGTTTCTTTGTCAGCTGTGTGGTCAAACGATGGTCGGATATTGTATGCAGTATGGGTTACCTTGATGAGTAAGCTCTGACTGTTTTCTTATTATTTTTTCTTTTTTTTTAGTTTTTCTCACCTTAACAGTGTTTTTTATAGATCATTTTCAGTTGAGGGAATAGCTTTAAAAGATAATTGATAGAAAGGTGTTCAACGTTTTGTAGATGCGACTGAAAATTTTTGGAAATTTTTAACTAGTAACTGGCTGATTTTGTCATAGGCGAATATTAACACAGTCAGAACTTTTTCGAAAAGACTTTGTTTTTCCATACAAAACTCTTAAGTGCCGCAATTTACGTGGGGAATGTGATCTCAGGAAATGATGAGCAAATGACAATGATCAGAAGAACTATTGTTCGTTATTTGTGCTTAACCCAAGTTTTGGTGTACCGTGATATTTGCGAATGTATCAGAAAACGGTTTCCAACTTACGACTCACTAATTAAAGCAGGTATTTTGCTAATTTACATACGCAATCGGCTGATCTACTGAACATAACCTTTAGTAACTTTTTTGTACGTCGTTAAGGGTTTTTGCTTCCTGAAGAGAAGAGAAAACTTGAATCTTATCCGCAATTAAATGAGTACTACTGCTCGGATGATGAGGGAAAATATTGGGCGCCAATTCACTGGGCAATAACCTATACAATACGGGCTCGTCAAGAGGGTAAAATTGCTACAGATATGTGGTGTACGAGGATTACAGATGTACGCTACTATAGTCAATGGCATAAAAGTGATGCTGTTAATCAGTAAACAAATTAAAGTTGTTTTTTTTTTCAAAATGATTTTTCTTTATCGCAGGAAATTCGAAAATTTCAAAATAATATGCAAACTCTGTGCAATTATGACTGGGTACAAATACCACTTCCTTACCCCCAGGTTATAATGTTTTTTCTACTAAAATTCAAACAATTCCGGAAATAATTTAATTAAATTTTGTTTTTTTTTTTTTTAAAATTTTGTTCTAATTCATAGAACGTTGTTTTAATATGCTCAGATCGCCTTCAGCTTTTTTAATTACAGTT